TCAAGGGAATTTTCGTTAGGTACATAGCTTATAAGAGTGAAAACATAAACATCTTTCTTGTTAACTCTTAATTACAAAGGTAAATCTGTGTTCAACTTTGAGAATAAATCTTCTTGGTTTGAACACAGTTTGATGTTTTGCTTAGTAGAGTGCTCGATTTTTTACTTCATAAATTGTGAATTAGTTAATTTTATTATATTATAATTTTGTAGACCATTCTCATTAGTTTCTTGCACATTTTCTTATCATTGAGTACGCTATTCACCTCTCCATTTGAGCCAAGCAAATTTCGATGCACTTTTTAATTTACTTTTGATTTGTTCGTTGCTTTTTGTAATGCAACTAAGTTACGCAAGTGATGGAGATTAAGAGCGTCGATGATCTGCCACCACTGTTTGTTCGATGTAGATTGTCAGTTGTTTTTCTTAAAACAGCTTCCACTATTCTGCCTTATTTCTATTGAGCTTAAGCCCGTTTTATTTCCAGAATATTAATGGATTCTTCCTCTTTTGCCAGAGAATTTTACATTTCATTTTGATGGCATGCGGTATGGTGCCATTTCCTGCAAATACTTAGCGTCTGTTATCATTGAATACCAAAAAAGGCCTAATGCTGACGTTTGAGGAGCAACTAAGAAAATGGAATTGCCATGCTTTGGCGTACATCGAAATTTTATGGCAACTGTGAATGAATGTAAATTAGTTACGTGCCACACCGGGTCGTTTGTCATATCCCAATTCTTAGACTGATAATGACGGGTATGGGTTTAATAGAAACTGAATGGTGCAATGATGCATAAGTGGTTGGTGATTAAAACTTTTGTTTTAGAATAACTGGCATGCACGAGTCTCTTTCGGTCGCTGGCAACTCCCGAAAGAGAAGAAAACTAGTTCATCCTCAGCAACAGCAGTGTACATCAGAACAGAACTTAGCGTCCTCCGCCGCATTTGAAACTGCAAAACAGAACTTTGGTTCTTCTTTGTTGGAAGGAAGCAACGACAGTGCTAATCGTGCAATGCCAGGCATTCTCGCTTTGCCAG